AAAAAAAAAAAATGTAATACCGAATCCGAACGGATTTTTAACGATTTTCGATGATGCGTGAAACGTTCTAAGCAATCAATGACCGCAAAAACAAGATGGGCAGCCGATTGGGGCCATCCAGAATCAACGATTGCCCGGCGCAAAACTGAGATTATCTCCAACTCAACCTGAACAAGATGAAACAAAATCATCGCAGGACACCACTACATTTGAGAATTCAGAAACATCGAATTCTTTCAGGAAACAAAGTTTCCTCCAAGCAACTGAACGATTGCCGGGATCGTTAACAGGCAATCACCGGGCAGTGAAACCAGTGCAACCCGGGAAATCGCCAGTTGAATAGCGGGAGAAGTAAGCAGCTGTAAATCGCAGCTGATCCAATTATTTCAAGCAAATACTTCAGCTGCAAATTCCATGGCAAATTCGTTCTCCTTTTCACAGTTACCAACTGATACATTAAGGTAAACTGCTTGTCCGATTGCATGGCACAAATATGCATTCAGAGCTCAGAAAGAGAGAAGCGGCAGTTAACCGGGAGCAGAATCCAAATTTGGCTACTAATACGAACTTTTCGCAGAGAGATCCGTTTTGAATATAAAATTACCTCAGCCATGCATGTCCTATTATGCTCGATGATAATTTCCAGGATCAACTGGGGCAGAATGAAGCTTGAAAAAACAATATCTGTATTTACCAGTCCTTGTGAAGCGCTGAAAACGGCTTTCAGTTTCGCATCACGTACCTGGAAGAACAAGCAGGTTTCCTCGAAGTTCATGACAGAATTAAGCTGGGAGTGCCATTTTAGTAAAAAAATTTGCAGAATGACACAAAAAACCGAAAGAACGCTACTTACATTTCCAGCTGCTACTTTATACCAAAGATTCATCCAACTTTTGAAATCTTTCGCTTCCTCACAATCTATGATAGGCCTGAAAGTAGGATCCGTTATTATTTCGTCACTCAAAGTGAAGCTCGCTTCATCGTGACGCCCTGATTTTTCATTCCTCAGCCAACGATGTTCCTCACAGCAACTACTATTGCAGCAATAAATAGTCAGGAAGATAAAGAGATCGAAAAATATACTGAAACCTTTTTGTGGGAAGCTGCTGGGCTGGTTGATGCAACGTGAAACTGGAATACCGAAGCATTGACAACGAATTTCGACACTGCTCACTGAGCAGACCCCAAATATTCGCCCTATCCGCACCATTTTTTCCAAGCAGTTCACGCAGGACAGTCTGAATACTGTAGGAACACTCCACTTGCACGCCTGCGTCCAGTATTCCAGAAAATGCGATCGCTGCTTGTTCAAGAAGTTCAACGTAAAACTAAAAAAAAATTTTGGGTGTACGGTTAATTAACAAAGCTATGGGAAAAAGCGTGGTACCTCACAAAAAATACATTTAAAAAGGAAAGATGCAGAGAATATCTTAAAAATGGTGCATTAACAAGCAAAATCACTTAAACCAGCTGGTGGGGAAAAATAAGCAAAAAACTCAGAAAAAAAAAATTACAAGTGAAAAAAGGTGTGAACAAACCCCCCTAAAACTAGTAGCCTCTGCAATTTAGAGGAAGAAGCGCGGCGACAGTCTTTCTGCTTCCACCTTCACACCAATTCTTGCAAACTATGACCTATCAGAAACAGAATAGAATCTTTTTAACTGGATAAAAATTTATCCACATCCTGAGACTAACAATTTTATTTCACTCAAACATAAGACGATTAAAAACAGTCCTTGTCAAATCTGTCAGCAATATTTTTGTGATCAAAAAAGTTACCCGCTTTCCGGCATTAACAAATACAAATTCATCATCGTTTCGATGTGCGCCACCATTCGGGCCCAGTGCCAACGATAGCCCGATGCGCCCAGGATCGACAGCGCCCAAACAGCCTATTACTAATGCCGCCAAACGGCGACATTCTGCGAATGAACTTTTACGAATAATTTTCAGCATTGATGGCACCTGAAAATAAAACACTATTTGGGAAAGCAAGATGCAAAATGGGACCGGATCGCCTCATACTTTTGAGAAAAGAAATGGATCTGCTGTTTCAGATCAAGACATATCTCATGCATGGACTAAAACGACATACTATCTTACACCGAAATCACGTAAAAGCTCTCTCGGAATCGCAGGTCTGCGTAGCAGATCACCAACATCACCTGGACTAAATCTATCCACGTTAAGGAATTGCAACTATACACACAACACTCATACGCCTCATTTCAATGTGCCCGGAAATTCCGAAGGAAAGAAAAGAACCAGTTCAGCGGCGATGCTGTCGAAGCAATCGTCCTTCAGCAGACTGCATTCGCTTGCGGCACGTAATAACCTGTGCAGTACCACTTCACAAACATCTTCGTAGTTTTCCTTCAATAACGAAATGCACGCCCTTATCACCTTAAAATACGAACTGCATTAGCTCTCTCCAGGATCGGCAATTTTCCAGAAAATTTTACACAAAATGTAGGCTAATCAAAATAAGGGATTTCCATGTGCAGAATTTGTTCCGTAAAATTTTACCTGAATTCATCAAAGAATTTAGTCGAAAATTCATGAAAGTTCTATCGAATTGTGGTATTTAAAAAAATAAATGGAAACTTGCACCAAGCTAGCAGGTGCGGCCATGCGTTTTGTGCAATTCATCCCATCGAACGATTGCCCATTAATGATTTTCACTGCTTTGTATTTTAGCCTATGCAAAAATAGTTCAGGCATTGGAAAATAGTTAAAAATTACACGCACCAGCGCTCGAAAGCTGAATTCGAAACCTTAAAAGGGTGAATATCTTTCCGTGATTGCCGAATTAATAATTCACCCGCCAAAATTCTCACGAGGCCGTAGTGATACTCAAGAGCGCGGGAGTGCTGAACTTGAATGGGCAAGGTTGAGAGTTGGTAGGGGGTCATTACTCTAAAATTTCAGCTTCCTAGACCTCGTGGTTGCCGGGATAATAATTTACCCGTAAAAACTTTCGTTAGCCCGTAGGTGATACCCAAGGTCGCGGGAACGCTGAATTTTAATGGGCAAGGCTGAGCGTGTGCAGTGGATCATTATCCTAAAATTTCAGCCTCCTAAACTCCGTGGTTCCCGAGATATTGATTTACCCGTAAAACTTTCGCTAGCCCTTAGGTGATACCCGAGAGTGCGGGAACGCTCGATCTGAATGGGCAAGGATGGGCGCGGGCAGGGGGTTATTACCCCAAAATTTCAGCCTTCTAGACTCCATGGTTTCCGAGATATTAATTTACTCGTAAAAAACTTTTACGGGGCTGTAAGGGTTACCCGCAGGTATGGGAAAGCTGATTTAAACTTGACGCGTTACCCGCTGGCGGGGAACACTATACCAAAATCTCAGCCGTCTAGCTTTTGTGGTTCCCGAGTTGAAAGTGCGGGACAAAATGTGGGACACACACACAC